GAAGTGTTGGCTCTGAAACAGCACACAGAATCGATGCTTCGGGGACAAGGTAACTGAGATTTTAATGAAGGAGAGCTGGACAGCCCTTGGCAGACGAAACCTCAATGCCCTCTTAACAAGAACACTCTCCAGGCCAGTGGGAAACGAGTAGGGTTAATTAATTAGAGATGAAGAGGCTAGAGTTGTTTCTGTTCTCCTTTTCTCTTTCTAAACAGCCCAGCTTGATTGTGCCGTGTGGTTTTATGCCCGAGTTTTTCCCCTGCTCAGCCTTATCATCATTTTTCGTTGTGTGTGTTGTGTATTGAAGTCGTGCAGTTGTGTCTCCTTGACAGAGAATGTTGTTTGTGGTTGATGGATAATGTTTCAGTGCCTCCTGAGGGCTAAAGTGTTATCTAACAGTCCAGAAGGCATCATGGGGGGTGTTTCCATGCATTTTTTGGTCTATTATTTATCTAATTATGTCCAACAGATTTTCATTGTATAAAATTGCTGAAAATTTTTTTGATTTGCTATATATATATATATGAAGAGTTCAGATGCAAAAGCCTCTAAATGCCATTTGAAATTTTCTTCTTTAATGATGATTTTTATCAAACTTGTATAGTTAAGTTCAGTAATTTCACTTAAATAACAATTAATAGGTAATTATCATTGCAATTTAAGTGAAATCACTGAACTTAAATATACAAGCTTGATAAAAATCATCATTAAAGAAGAAAATTTAAAATGGCACTTGGAGGCTTTTGCATCTGAACTCTTCATATATACACCTTTTTTTGTGCTTGATAGTTGGAAAATCTCCCATTGACTTGAATTAACAAGTCAAGTCACCTTTATATAGCGCTTTTTACAATACAGATTGTTTCAAAGCAGCTTTACAGAGATAACAGGAAAATAATGCACCAATGTTTGTTTCCAAAAGAAAATAGCATCGCAGTCCAGCTTAAGTAAGTTCACTGGTGTTTCATTTTTGTTGTAAAAAAGTTATTAATTTAGTTCATTTATACTAGATAGCCTGGAGAAAAGCGTGATGTCATCGCCCAGCTCAGTTCAGTTCTTACATAATAGTGATATTGTTGAATATTAAATGAAATGTCCCCAAAAGCCAATGGAGACAGTATCGATGAACCAAAACTCCATCAGTGACAGAATGGAGAAATAAACCCTGGGAGAAACCAGACTCAGTCACACTTCTCCTCTGGCCAGCAAACGAACAGTGTATGATTATGATTCAGGCAGCATTACAGGTCAGAAGTCAGATTGGATCAGAATATTATCCTGTTCCTCCTGGTTGAAGGTCGGAGTCATGACGCCGGTATGGAGATGAGTTTGTGGAGGATCAGTGCCGATGTCTGTTGTGTCGATGAGTCCTTCACAGGGACAGTCTAGATGACACAAGCTCTGCTGACACCTCATAAATGCGTTGTGGTCATGTCTAGGCTCAGGTCCTGCGTCTGATCTGGATCCGGCCCGGATCCGGCTGATTACAGTAAGCCTCGGAATAAACAGAAAGACTAACATTAGCGTGATGCCATTCTTCTCATGATGTAACGAGTACATCGGGTGGTATAGAAATTAACAGAATTTCACATGAACATACTTGTGTTGTGTATGAAACAACACATGCAATCAAGCTTAGAAGTGAATGCGGTCACATAAGATACCTGCTATCTTAATGCTATTCTTTTTCAGCAGAGTTCATTCATTTTCTCTCACTTTAATCAGTTGAAGTGTTGCTTATAAAAGGGCTTTATCTTTTTCTCCCAGGGATTTTTTAATTATTCAGAAGACTCTATACGCTGATGTGTTCCAGATGCAATCCACCAGAAAACATCCCCTTTAATATATAGCCCTCTAAATCAATTCCAGCTACCCGTCAAAGACGAGCTCGTTTAATCACTGGGCTGTAGGTCTGGCGGTCAGTCTTTATTGGAATAATCCAATTTTGGGGATATCATGCAGCTAAAAAAAATTCCCAGCATTCGCAGTCAAGTCAAATCAAGTTATAGTGAATGATTTTGCAACCTTGATCTGGACACATCTGAAGACTTCTTCTGAGAGCATTTAGCTAACCTTATATTTATGAATATTAACATAATACTGTTCAGCATATGGGAAAATATCACAAAAATGCCACATTTCTTACATTTCATTAGTAAAACCTAGTATAAAACTGTTGTTTTTTTTTAATCAGCATAAATTAAAGGCATGCAACTAGCATGTTTTGTAAAACTGGGAACACTTTAGTTTACGGTTCAATTTTCACTATTAACTAATTGCTTATAAGCATGCATATTAGGCTGTTTTTTAGCACATATTAATGCCTTATTCTGCATGATTATATTCTACATACCTTAATAGCCCAATACCTAAAATTAACGGTAACGCTTCCTTTTACAGTACAGTACTTACAGTGTACTTACCTTGAAAGTACTGGCTATAATAAGGTAAGTACATGGAACTTGTTATTACCCAGTAATTAAAATAAGTACATAGTATTTACATGGGTAACTGGACTGTAAAAGGAAGCGTTACCAAATTAACAACTACCTTACTTACAGTACTATTAATAAGCAGTAATTAGGAGTTTATTGAGGCAAAGTTAAGAGTGAGAATTGGACCCTAATATAAAGTGTGATCATACGATTTTAATGATGTACCATTTTATGCTTCAAAGTAATGAGAATTTGGGGAGTTTAATAGTTATGAAATTGCTTAAAATGCCAAAAGATCTTATTTGTCTTATATAAACAGGCCTCATTATCTTCATATAAACTATATTTACTTTACACAGATATGTTCTTAACAGCACAAAGGCCTCCCTCGGCAGTAATCTTTTTTTAAAAGTCAAGTCAGGTGACCTTTATTTCATTATTGCTTTATACAGTACAGATTGTTTCAAAGCATATTTACAGTGAGAAAATGAATTACTGATGCAAACAGAGTTCACTTCAGCTGTACGGCAGCTCGAAAAGAAAATAGTGTCATTATTCAGCTGAAGTAAATTCAGTGTTGGTTCAGTTCTGTCGTAAAGATCGTCAATTATTAAACTTGTTCATTTTATCTATAAAGCAGTTCTGCAGAAAACAATGATGTCATCGTCCAGCTCAGTTCATTTCTAATCCAATAGTGTCAGTGCAGTCAAATCAATAATATTGACCTGACTGTACTTTTGAATAATAAATGACCACCTCTGTACCTTATTTATCCCTAAAGGGTGCATATTAGACCTAAAATGGGACACAGCTTTTATTTTTTTATTTTTAAAGAGTGACAGCTTTTTTGGTAACACTTTACAATAAGGTTCATTAGTTAACATTAATTAATGTATTAACTGAACTAACCATGAGCAATACATTTGCTACTGTGTTTGTTCATCTTTGTTAACATTAGTTAATAAATATACAGCTGTTCATTGTTAGTTCACAGTGCATTAACACATATTAACAAGATTTTAATAAAGAAATAGTAAATGTTGAAAATAACATTAACAAAGATTAACCTGTTAAGTGTCACCCCCCTTTTTTGAATAGACATGCACATTTAGAACTTAAATGATTGTAATTCAAGAATGCTTTGGAATATAGACGTTTTAAAGAAGACATGTGGCATATTTTTGTAGTGAAATAAATTAAGAAAGTAAAACAGAAAACGAGTTTATGGAAATGTACTATGTAAAAAAATGAAGTATTCATATTTTATATAAAATATATATTTTCAAAAACTCTAAAACTGCAAAAAAAAGTTTTAGGTTGATATCTCAAAAAAGTAGCTTTCAGTAAGATTTAGTTAGGGCGCAGTACCAAACATTTCCACTAGGGCACGACCAGACTTCATTACTGCACATATAAGAGCGCCTCCATTTCCATCTGTGTTTTGAGTGATACGAACCATTATTTTGACAAATTATGTATCACTCAAAACATAATTTGTTTTGAGTGATACATTTTTTGATTTTTAAAACATTTTCAGACCTTTTTTCCCTAATAATTGAATGGATGCAATATTTTGAACTCTTGGCATGAAAACAAACTGAGGTCTGTAACTTTTTTTCATGATTTTTCATGTTCATCACTATTTCAAAATAAAGGTCTCTAGGAGTATGAAAATATTCTTGTTGCAAATTGATAAATTACGACTCCTCTGTGATTTCTTTTGAAAATCAGTCACCATATGGAATCATATGGAAACTATAGATTGTAAGCTTTCAAATGATATATAGTTTGTCAAGATTACTTAAAGGGATACTCCCCTTTTTTTGTAAATAGGCTTATTTTACAACTCCCCCAGAGTTAAACAGTCGAGTTTTACCGTTTTCGAATCCATTCAGCCGATTTTCTGATATTTAGAAGAATATCAGTAACCAGACAGTTTCTGGTCTCACTGACTAAACTGTCTAGTTACTGATATTCCCACGCTATCTCACGACCGATTCGTACGAATTCGTACGAGTGATTCAAAAGTGGCTAATTCGTACTAATTCATACGAACTCACTCGTATGAACTTGTACGATTTGTCTAAACCCACGTGACGGTTATGTTTAGGGGTAGGTCATTCGTACGAATTCATACGAATTGGCTAATTCGTAAAATATGTACGATTTAGCAAAATCGTACGAGTGAGGTCGTACGAATTGTTACGAATTAGCCACCTCGTAAAATTCGTACGAATTCCCGTGAGATCGGGTTGGATATTCTTCTAAATATCAGAAAATCGTCTGAATGGATTTAAAAACGCTAAAATTCAACTGCTTAACTCTGAGGGAGTTGTAAAATGAGCCTATTTCCAAAAAAAAGTGGAGTATCCCTTTAAGGTCTTTTCTAAGATATTATTGTTTTAAAAATATAACGTGAACAGTTAAGGGGTGTTTACAGTAAGTGCAGTTCATTATGCTAACTAATCTAGTTAACTAATGAACCTTATTGTAAAGTGTTACCCCTTTTTTATACAAGAGTGTATATCCTTCTGTAATGAGGTCTTGTGGTCTTTCTCTCGGCAGGATTCGGGATGACCACGCCTGTGACAGTAGCTGGAAAGATCTTCTTGATCTTCTACGGTCTGTTAGGTTGCGCGGCCACCATCCTGTTCTTCAACCTGTTTCTGGAGCGCATCATTACCCTGCTGGCCGTGGTGATGAAGGCCGTTCGTCTTCGTCGTCTGAGGACCAGTGGTCTCCTCCCGCCGGGGATCTGCACGGACTTCGCCGCAAGTACGTTGCCAGGCTGGAAGCCCTCGGTGTACCACGTGATGCTCATCCTGGGTCTGTCGGCCATCGTGATCTCCTGCTGCGCGTCGGCCATGTACACTCCAGTGGAGGGTTGGGCGTACTTGGACTCGCTCTATTTTTGCTTCGTCACCTTCAGCACGATTGGTTTCGGGGATTTGGTCAGCAGTCAGAGTGCTGTGTACGGCTACCAAAGCCTTTACCGCTTGGCTAACTGTCTCTTCATCTTGGCTGGAGTATGTTGCATCTACTCTCTCTTCAATGTCATCTCAATCGTCATCAAGCAGGTCCTCAACTGGATGTTGGGGAAAATGAGTTGCTTGTGTTGCCAACGCTGCAACAAAGCAAACGCTTTCTTGGGACGCCGCAACGCCATCAGACCCGGCTCACGCCTCCGAAAGGGACGATTCGGGCAAACGCCGGACTCGGACGGGCCTTGCGACAGCGACACGGAGGGCCGTAGGCTTTCGGGTGAGATGATCTCCATGCGGGACCTGACGGGATCCAATAAAATCTCACTGGCGATCATGCAGAAACAGCTTTCGGAGTCAGCAAACGGATATCCCAGAACGGTCTGCGGAAGCTCTCGGCAAAACGGCTTTTCCGGTGGCGTCGGCGCTCTCGGCATTATGAACAACCGCTTAGCAGAAACCAGTGACTCTAGGTAGAGCTAACCTTTGCCTAAACAGGGTAAGCATCTCAAAAGACGATTATCTTTAGCAGTAAAGCCTCTCCAACTCTCTCTGGAAGTCAAGCGGTTTGGATTTAGCCTAAATGTCTTGAGCTTGTGTAGAACAGCATGACGTGCATGAACTGTGTAGGATATCCGTTAGGGTTTCTGGACTGCAGCATATGCTAGGAAGTAATGGTGCGTTCAAATCACGTTCGAAAGATTGTATTTACGAGTTCAATGCGCATGATCGGCACTACAAAGTCGTAATTACGATTAGAGATACTGAGGGAGAAAACATGTCGGATGCAGCGTCTGTATTAAACGATATTTCTTTAACGATAAAAGTAAGTTGCATGTGCAAAATACCATATAATACTGATAGTATTGTACAGTTACTATAACATTTATAATAAATCAGTTTACAGCACCTTGATTAAAAACATAAAAATCATTCTTTATTCATTTAGTAAATTGTTGAATTTCATGCGGAAAAGGCCGTAAAAAGTCGTAATTACAACTTCACAACTCGTAAATACGAACTTCCCTGGAGGACTTGCTCGCACCATATTCAACTCATCAACCGTAACAAACCCGGATTATCATGTTTTCTGGAATTTGTAGACCGTACAACAGTAACTAAACTTAAACAAACGCTCTGAAGTTAGACTTGACTATTCGACCAGTGGCTATTCATATGAGTAGAGCTTTTCGATTCTCATATACGTAGAAGTAGCATCCTTTTTACTCCATTCGGATAGCACACTCGATTTACAACTATGCATCATCTCCATCCATGTCGCAAACATTTGAGTTTTTACCAGTTCGCATTAAATGTATGTACCTCACTCCTCATTGAAAAGTCCTTACTTTTTAGTGTGTACTTGTATTTTGGACAAGATCTCAAAATCTCACGGGAACAACGTGGCTAATTCGTAAGACCTCACTCGTACGAATTTCTAAGATTTTTGCTAAATCGTACATATTTTACGAATTGGCCAACTCGTATGAATTCATACAATGACCTACCCCTGACCCCGCCCCTAAACCTAACCATCACGTGGGTTTAGACAAATCATACGAATTCGTACGAGTGAGGTCGTATGAATTAGTGCAAATTAGCCACTTTTTAATCATTTGTATGAATTCGTAGGAATTGGTTGTGAGATAGCGTTGCAACAAAAGTCCTTACTTTTTCAGTGTGTACTTGTATTTTGAACAAGATCTCAAAATCTCACGGGAATTCGTACAAATTTTACGAGGTGGCTAATTCGTAACAATTCGTACGACCTCACTCGTGCGAATTAGTAAGATTTTTGCTAAATCATACATATTTTACGAATTGGCCTACTCGCATGAATTCGTACGAATGACCTATCCCTGACCCCGCCGCTAAACCTAACCATCACGTGGGTTTAGACAAATCATACGAATTGGTACGAGTGAGGTCATATGAATTCGTACACATTAGCCACTTTTTAATCATTCGTATGAATTCGTAGGAATTGGTTGTGAGATAGCGTTGCAACAAAAGTCCTTACTTTTTTAGTGTGTACTTGTATTTTAGACAAGATCTCAAAATCTCACGGGAATTCGTACAAATTTTACGAGGTGGCTAATTCGTAACAATTCGTAAGACCTCACTCGTACGAATTAGTAAGATTTTTGCTAAATCGTACATATTTTACGAATTGGCCTACTCGCATAAATTCGTACGAATGACCTATCCCTGACCCCGCCGCTAAACCTAACCATCACGTGGGTTTAGACAAATCATACGAATTCGTACGAGTGAGGTCATATGAATTCGTACTCATTAGCCACTTTTTAATCATTCATATGAATTCGTAGGAATTGGTTGAGATAGCGTTGCAACAAAAGTCCTTACTTTTTTATTGTGTACTTGTATTTTAGACAAGATCTCAAAATCTCACGGGAATTCGTACAAATTTTACGAGGTGGCTAATTCGTAACAATTCGTAAGACCTCACTCGTAAGAATTAGTACGATTTTTGCTAAATCGTACATATTTTACGAATTGGCCTACTCGCATGAATTCGTACGAATGACCTATCCCTGACCCCGCCGCTAAACCTAACCATCACGTGGGTTTAGACAAATCATACGAATTCGTACGAGTGAGGTCATATGAATTCGTACACATTAGCCACTTTTTAATCATTCGTATGAATTCGTAGGAATTGGTTGTGAGATAGCGTTGCAACAAAAGTCCTTACTTTTTTAGTGTGTACTTGTATTTTAGACAAGATCTCAAAATCTCACGGGAATTCGTACAAATTTTACGAGGTGGCTAATTCGTAACAATTCGTAAGACCTCACTCGTACGAATTAGTAAGATTTTTGCTAAATCGTACATATTTTACGAATTGGCCTACTCGCATAAATTCGTACGAATGACCTATCCCTGACCCCGCCGCTAAACCTAACCATCACGTGGGTTTAGACAAATCATACGAATTCGTACGAGTGAGGTCATATGAATTCGTACTCATTAGCCACTTTTTAATCATTCATATGAATTCGTAGGAATTGGTTGAGATAGCGTTGCAACAAAAGTCCTTACTTTTTTATTGTGTACTTGTATTTTAGACAAGATCTCAAAATCTCACGGGAATTCGTACAAATTTTACGAGGTGGCTAATTCGTAACAATTCGTAAGACCTCACTCGTAAGAATTAGTACGATTTTTGCTAAATCGTACATATTTTACGAATTGGCCTACTCGCATGAATTCGTACGAATGACCTATCCCTGACCCCGCCGCTAAACCTAACCATCACGTGGGTTTAGACAAATCATACGAATTCGTACGAGTGAGGTCATATGAATTCGTACTCATTAGCCACTTTTTAATCATTCGTATGAATTCGTAGGAATTGGTTGAGATAGCGTTGCAACAAAAGTCCTTACTTTTTCAGTGTGTACTTGTATTTTGGACAAGATCTCAAAATCTCACGGGAATTCGTACAAATTTTACGAGGTGGCTAATTCGTAACAATTCGTACGACCTCACTCGTAAGAATTAGTACGATTTTTGCTAAATCGTACATATTTTACGAATTGGCCAACTATGAATTCGTACGAATGACCTACCCCTGACCCCGCCCCTAAACTTAACCATCACGTGGGTTTAGACAAAGCGTACGAATTCGTACGAGTGAGGTCGTATGAATTAGTACAAATTAGCCACTTTTTAATCATTCGTATGAATTCGTAAGACCTCACTTGTACGAATTAGTAAGATTTTTGCTAAATCGTACATATTTTACGAATTGGCCAACTATGAATTCGTACGAATGACCTACCCCTGACCCCGCCCCTAAACCTAACCATCACGTGGGTTTAGACAAATCGTACGAATTCGTACGAGTGAGGTCGTATGAATTAGTACAAATTAGCCACTTTTTAATCATTCGTATGAATTCGTAGGATCTGGTCGTGAGATAGCGTTGCAACAACACAGGTTCACTTGTTATGTGCAGTTTGTTCATGCACCAAGAACTGATATTATGTGAGCTAGTATGCAGCATTAGTCAAAGAGAAGAGCAAATTGACGACTTTACAGGATGCAGATTAGGAGGTTTGTGCTGTATAAGCGAGTTCATTTACCGTACCCCTTCAAATCGGTGTTCCTGTCAATAGGGATCTCATGGAAAAGAAGTGCCACTGTTTAATGGTTTTACATTCGGTATAGTAACAGGATGAGATGCACCAATGAGAACTTCAAAGCCAAACTGTTGTTCCCCAAAGAGGAGAGAGGAGGAGCTGAAGAGATGGAGTGAAGGAGAATAAAGTGAAGAAGCCCTGAGAGAGAATATCAGCGCAGAACTAGACTTCCAGCGGATCTGCCAGACCGAACGTTAGCATCCTCGACCCCTCAACGGTAGAGTTAGGAACAGACCGCTTAGATCATATTTGCTTCACCTGCCCTGGAAATATAGTGTGGGAGGATGGAGGTTTTCAACAGAGAAAGCTTAGTCTTAGTTGTTGAATAGCCATTTAGAAAGAAAGCCAGCTTTGTGCATGCTATATTGTTCGACACTATGAATGTGTTTACATGCACAATCCTACACTGATTGACGCAGACAACATGAGCTTAAAGGAGTAGTTCACTTTAAAAAAAACTTTAGCTGATAATTTACTCACCCCCATGTCATCCAAGATGTCCATGTCTTTCTTTCTTCAGTCGAAAAGAAATGAAGGTTTTTGATGAAAACATTCCAGGATTTTTCTCCATATAATGGACTTCAATGGGGTCCAAACGGTTCAACGTCCAAATGACAGTTTCAGTGCAGCTTCAAAGGTCTTTAAAAGATTCCAGATGATGAATAACGGTCTTGTCTAGCGAAACGATCCCTTATTTATAAATATATATAACAAATTTTAAGTTTTATAAGCTCAAATGCTCGCCTTGCTCTGTTCTGTGCGTTTGTGACTCTCCTGTTCGAACTCGTTTATCAAAATGAACGAATCTTTTTCCGTGTCTTTTTTGAACTAATCTTTTTCCGTGTCATTTGGTTGATTCAACGAACTAAATGAACGAATTGACTCGGAAAAAGATTCGCTCATTTTGATGAACAAGTTCGAACCAAAAAAGATTTAAGATGAGCATTTGTGCTTATAAAACTTATACTTTTTTATTTATTTTTCAAATGAGCGATCGTTTCGCTTGATAAGACTCTTATTCATCGTCTGAAATCGTTTAAAGCCCTTTGAAGCTGCACTGAAACTCTCATTTGGACCTTGAACCGTTTGGACCCCATTGAAGTCCATTATATGGAGAAAATCCTGGAATGTTTTCATCAAAAACCTTAATTTCTTTTCGACTGAAGAAAGAAAGACATGGACATCTTGGATGACATGGGGGTGAGTAAATTATCAGCAAAAGTTTTTTTTAAAGTGAACTACTCCTTTAATGAGATTTTGAAATTATTTTCTTGAAAATGTAAACAAGACATGCACAAACTGAGAAAAGCAACTCAAGTCTGGTGTGTGTGTTTACGTATATAAAGTGGAATGGGTGTAATGGGTTTTGCTTTAACCTTTTGCAACGTTCCCAGTTAAAAGAACATGTCGAGCTGTTTAGGACATGACCTTACATGCACTCATTAACATACTTATTACGATTCGGCTGTGCATTTAAATGGCTTGATCGACATTCTGTGAGCTTATTCGGCGTGGCGGTGACTGTGTAATGAATCCTGATCGTTTCAAAATCTCATTTAAAGTGAGTGTTGGCAGTTTCAGTTTCTTTAATAAGCAGATTTTTGATAATTATCAATGTTTTGTTGTGCATGTAAACACTCATAGCTCATTTGTCCTCATAATGTGCAGTTTGCTGAACGTCACAATGCATTACTGCTCTTTTGCATAAAACTGAACTCTAATTAACTCTCTTCGCTCATGTTGT